TGCTCTTGCATAGAACATACATGGGTTTGTTCTGTCAGTCAAGACTGTTTTATGCCTTCCTGGAAAAGGGAGTCATAAGTCCCTCTTCTAGCAACTTAAACATTTCCCCCAATTGAATTACATAATTAAACCCTCACATGGCATGATACAGCTTTCTGGTTCACTTTTATTGTGAAATAACCCTTTTAAGGTCTTAAAGGAAAGATTTTAAAATTAGGCTATACATCCATAGATTGTTAGCATCTGGTAAAAAATGTCTCATTTTAGACATGAGGAAACGGAGGACCTGAGAGATTAAGTAACTTTCCCAGATGATTGTGTCTTCCCTTAACTTAATTCTGTTTTGTATTTATGTCTTTGGTCTGAACCCCAAACCAAACTATTTGCTTTTATTTGAAGAATCATCTCTAGGTCACATACTCAGACTTTGCTCTATGACTTCAAAATGTAGAGGGAAATGACTACACTTCTTTTTCAACAAGTAAAAATAACTGAGTTTAGCATTTCAGTTGGGAGAGGAGGGAGGCATTGTTCTTCCAAGTCTGATCCTATGATTTCTTTAGCATCAGTAAACCTTTTTCCCAGAACTTCTCTCCACTGATGTACAATATCAACTCATCTGTAACTTACAGTCTTAGAGAGTTGTTTGGGAGAAATGAGAGGTTAAGTGGCTTTTCCATGGTCACACAACCAGAAGTAACACTTTAACCCAGGTCTTCCTGTTACCAGGAGTCAACCATTACAAAAGAGGTATCAGGTTTGGCTACAAAACTCCTGGGTAGGGCCCAAACTAAATTAAAATGTAACTGGGAAATGTTTAACAAAATAAATAAAAATACAACATAGATAATGTTAATTTGTGATCCTCTAAGCAAACAGGGATCTGTTTCTATTTGAGTTTGATACCATTACACTACAACACAGTACCTCTCAGTTAAGAGCTGGTTTGTGAAAATAATTAGTAAAAACAGAAAAATAGTGGATTGTTGACTTCATTCCACTAGATGCTGCAGCCCAGATTCTTCCCTGGTCTGGGCCTACCCTGCTTCTAACTCCATCATTAGTATTTCCAACAATGGGCTCAGGGTACCTACAGTCTCCTCCTAATGGTAGCCATCTCTAGGGAGGGGCCACGGCAGGGAGGGAAGAAAAAAAGGGGAAAAAAATAAATTTACATGATAACTTTATTATATATTTAAAAGGAACAGCAAGTTGTACATAATAGATTTGTAGTTTCATATGCAATCATCTTTTTTATTATTCTACATTATGGAAATGCTTATTTTATTCCATAAATTAAAAATTAAATAAATTTTTTTTAAAAAGATCACCATGAACTATTTCTCCTGCATTGGTGTAGGGAGCCATCATGGTGCAGTAGAGTCATTCAGTCAATAAGCATTTATTAAGCACCTACTATTTGCTGGGCACTATACTAAGTGTTGGAGTCAGAACTTGGATTTTAATGTGGCTTTGCCACTACCTATGTGACAATAGGTAAATCACTTCACTTTCTGGGACTTAGTTTCCTTATCTGTAAAATGAGAGGTTGGACTAGATGACCTCTAAAATCCCTTCCAGCTCTAAATCTTTCATCCTACAAAAGTGTATTATTCTGTGGCTTGACCCAGATTACAAAATTGCTTGTCACAGTTTTGTTACCTGGGCTCATTTATACATTACAAAATCTCTTAACCATAGTTCTCTTCCCCCATCATGCCTGTTACATGTAAATAGTCTTAAGTCTCTGGTCACAACTTAACTTAAGGTTATTCCCAATATTATTCTATTAACAGAACTCTGACCTTTAATCAGGACGTTGCCATCTAAGTGCCAGACTTCTAATAATTCATTCTGTAGTTTACAGTAAATTAGTAAGACTAACAGTATGGTTCTCAGATTCCTTTGTACTAAAGACTCCCAGAAGAGCCTCTTGTCATAAAACTGCTTATCTTATTGCATCCCAAATTCCCAAAGAAACATTCTTCTACAATGCCAGAGCTAGAAGATTTCCTATGGCCTAATATTTGGCTTAAATCTACCCAGGTGCAGATGAAGCATCTTTCCTTCCCATCTATTCTGAGTTTCAATTTCCTCAGCCATAACATGAGGATAAAAATGCCTACAATCCTAACCTCACAGAATTGTAATAAGTCTCAAATATGATAATAAAAGCAAAGGTCTTTGTAAAATTTAAAGTACTATCTAAATGTCAGCGGTTATCAACATCTTTATCATCATTAGCATTTTTCTGCCCACTGTGTGAAGGTACCCCTTCTGGTCACTATCTATTATGAAATCAGCATTCGTACTTAATCCTCACTCACAGTGGAAAAAGTATTGGACTTGTAGCTAAAAAAGACTTGGAATCCAATCTCACCTATGACATTAGCTATGTGACCTTGGGCAAGTCACAACCTAAGTCTGTTTCCTCATTTGTAAGATGAGAAGTTGGGACTAAGTGATCTCTAAAATCTCTTCCCATTGTAAATCTTTGATCCTATGATTTTACCTTTTCACCCAGATTTTACTACAAGAAGGAGTTATATGCATATACATGTAATATATATATGCATATATACATATGTATTACAGCGTGAGCTAACCAATCAATCTGTAAGTATTTATCAAGCACCTACTATAGACCAGGCTGTCTATGAGTGTAGGATGTTCTCTCATCAGGCTAGGGATGATAGCCTCTAGCAACAGTAGATAGGCCAAACACAATTTCAGAGAATGCCAATAACCATTTAAATAGAACTGGTTTATACAAAAACTTATGTGGGTCAAGTGTGTCAGCTGCTTCACTCCCTGGTGCTCAGCCCAGGCTTGTATTGTCAGAAGCACAGGGAATCATACATGTCAGTGTATATAGTTAACAGCTATTATTGTTAGCTAAAGTACCTAGGATATTCCCATTATTTTCATGCCTACAGAAAAGAGAAAAGGCATATGTTACCTTGCCTCAGTATGTCAAAAGATAATGCACAAGGAAAATCCCTCATGTCTCATTGCTATGAATATGGGTCATATAGGCAAAGCCCAGAGTGGCCTTCCAAGCTGCCTGCTGTAAGAATCCACCTCATTATTTACAAAAGCTCCATGAGGCAGAGCTCTAATTCTTTCCTCTCCCCTCAAAGAACAGCAAATAGCCACTACAATGTAAAACAAATGTGCAAAAATTCCCCATAATATTTTTTAAAAATAAAAAACACTAAAAAAAATAAAACCCACCTTGAATTTGCTACCCTGTCTTCAGCATGTTTGTTGTTTATGGATCCAGCTGGGAAAGATTTGCAGCAGCATCTGTTTATTATATGCATGATTTGTTCATCAATCAAAATAGTATGTGCGCAGAAATGTTCTAGCCACTATAGAAAATATATGTAAAGTCTAAGATACAATCTTGACCCTGAAGGCACTTAGAATCTGCTTGCAATGACAAGATGTATGCATGTGACAAAGAGAACTAATACAATACAGAACAGAATTAATGCCAAGCCTGTGGCTGGCCCAGGAGCCTACACCAGGGAGAAATAATCAAGGTGTGTTGGAATAATGGTACAAGGCTTCAGTTGAGGGGGCAGTGTCCATTTGTACAACAAGGTCTGGAAGGCTACTCCAACATATTCATTATTTCTCTTTTTTATAGATTCCTATAACTCAATTCGCAAACAATAAGCATACTAATGACTAAACTGATATTAAACCTTCAGGAGTCATCTTGGAATGTTTTGGTATAAGTTATATCTATACTTTCAAATGTACATATCTTCCCCTAATAGAAGTTTCTTGAGGGTGGGGATCATTTCTTTTTTTTTCTTTGTATCCACAGGACCTAGCACAATGCTTAGCATAGAACCAAGAAAACAAATCATTAGCTGATAAATGTTAGGGTATCAGTCCTTCCAAATACTTCCTACATAGGAAGTATTTGGTGGGGAAGGGCTAGGAATGGCACTTGCTGAGCCTGGAAAATGGGACATTGAGTTTAAGATTTTAGTTGTCAATGGCACTGGGCCACTCCCACAGACAAGATGGAGTAAGGAGAACAAGATAGGGGGTAAAATGTCACAGTTCTTTAAAATGATAATTACGTTCATAAGTTTAAACTTTACAAATTAAATAAGTTTTTCTTAAGTGAGAGATTAAGTTACTGAGTGGAGACACATTGAATCTTATCACCTCTCTTCTGGATTATCCTGAATACAAATGGGATGAGTGGAAACAAGGAGAAAGATATGAATACATGAACTGAAAGACCTTTTGATGACTTAAATACGGCAGGAGGAAAGGCATTCCCAGAAACGTTCAGAAAACATACCATAATATATAGTCATACCTCATCCAAGCAGCTAGACAGTAGAGTGGAGAGAGCGCTAGACTTGGAATCAGAAATACCTGGGTTAAAGTCCTGCCTCAAATACTTACTGGCTGTGTGACCACTTCACCTCTCTGTGACTCAGTTTCTTCACCCATAAAATGAGTGCAATAATAACACCTACTTCAAAAGGTTGTTGTGAGGATCAAATGAGATAATTTGTATAAAATGCTTTGCAAATGTGAAAGCATTATATTAATGCTAGCTATTATTATTCATTATCAATCAATCAATAAAGATTTATTAAGTTCCTACTATGTGCCAGGCACTGTGCTAAGCACTAGGGATAAAAAAAAAAAGATAGTGTCCTCAAGGAGCTTACAATCTAATGGGGGAATTGTTATTGTTGTTGTTGTTATACATGATTAACTTTTAAAAGGTGTTAGCTGTGTCTCAGAGGAGGCTCATTCTTAAATCCCAGACCAATAAGAAGAATAGGAAGGGATTAGGTGAATTATTTCACTCACTTTGCATGAAACTTCCTGGCCATAAGGAGATTACTGAGCACGTTGTGGTTGACACTGTCCTTATTTCTTTTCCTATAAGCTAAAGTCCATTTGAGAATGAAAACTTCCCCATGCTGACTCCCTTCATTGCTTTCAGACCATAGGATTTCCCAATGCAGAGAAAGAACCACACGCAGGTGACCATGTTCACCTTCCAGGGATTCTCCAGCTTCCATGAACACCAGATCACACTCTTTGTAGTGTTCCTCACTGTGTACATCATAACCCTGGCCAGCAATGTCATCACTGTGACTGTCATCTGCATTGACCACCACCTCCACACCCCCATGTACTTCTTCCTGAGCATCTTGTCTACTTCTGAGACCTTGTACACACTGGTCATCATCCCACGGATGTTGTCCAGCCTCACAGGGTGGAACCAGCCAATTTCACTGGAAGGCTGTGCCGCTCAAATGTTCTTCTTTGTCACTTTGGCCATCAACAACTGCTTCCTCCTCACAGCAATGGGGTATGACCGCTACGTGGCCATTTGCAAACCCCTGAGATATATGATTGTCATGAATAAAAAGGTATGCACCTACTTAGTGGGTGGGGCATGTGCCATTGGTCTGACCTTGGCGTCTGTACAGGTGACATCCATATTCAGCTTGCCTTTCTGCCAAGCAGAGGTGGCCCATTTCTACTGTGACATCCGTCCCATGATGAAACTTGCCTGTATAGATACCACAATCAATGAGATCATCAACTTTGTTGTCAGCTCAGGAGTGATCCTGGTGTCTATGGGCTTAGTCTTTATCTCCTACATCTTCATTATCTCTGCCATCCTCAAAATCGCCTCAGCTGAGGGGCGGAAAAAGACCTTTGCCACTTGTGCCTCCCACCTCACAGTGGTCACTGTCCACTATGGCTGTGCCTCCATTGCCTATCTCAAGCCCAAATCAGAGAATTCAATAGAACAAGACAGATTACTCTCCATTACTTACACTCTCATGACACCACTCTTGAATCCTTTTGTATACAGCCTGAGAAATAAGGAAGTCAAGAATGCCCTAAGGCGAGTCATGGGCAAAAAGCTGCCTAAGCAATGGTGTGTTTCTCAAGCAGTCTTTGGGTCCATAAAGCTTATGTGTTGACCACAAATATTATAAACAGTTCAAGTGTACTAAATACAGTTATCCTCGAATTTGAAGAAAAACTCATACTTCTCTACTACCTATAAGTAGTATGGGGTTGAAAAACTGGAAACTGGGCAGAACAAACATTGCCAAAACAGAAAGCGGGCACTATGCCCCTACTTGCCTGGTCTCTGGGGATCCTTGGTGTTTATTGATTGATTGAATATTTGATTAATGCCCACACAGATTCATTTGACTTAACCAGAAATATCCATTCTCCCTCCTTAGTTCATCTGGTGATTGAGGGTGGATTTTCTCCAATGGATTAACTAACAAATATCAATCAATCAACAAATATCACTTGAACAATTACATGAAAGAAAGTACAACCAGTGTTGAGATGGAATGTTGAGAAGAATTGTTCAACCACTTCTATTTGCTCCCCTCACCCTACTACTGGCTCATTGCCTATATAAATCTAATCTAAATGCTCTTTCTTTGATCCAGGAAGTTGTACAAAAGGATCTATAATTAGCTCTCTCTTCTCTCTCTTTCTCTCTCTTTTTCTCTCTGTTTCTGTTTGGTTTTGGATTTCTGCCTACCTGTCTCTGAGTCTCTGTCTCTGACTGTCTGTCTATCTCGTCCTCTACAAGCTCTGTCAAAGAAAAACTATTAATGTTGTCTTCTGTGTTCTGGGCATAGTTATTAAGTTTAACACTGATTGAATATACAAGCATTTCTAGGAGGAAGAGAGAGAGAGAGAGAGAGAGAGAGAGAGAGAGAGAGAGAAAATGTCCAAACCAATCACATGCTATTCCATCCCATGCCATCAGACATGTCTCTCTATCCAAAGACAAATAGCAGTAACATTTATAATGTTTATAATCTTGAACAAGGAAAAGATTATAACATATTAAACTATGTAGAACATTAGTAAAATACAGTTTGGGATTAACATTTCAGAACAATAGTCTCTATTTAATTTCTTCCTTGACCCAAGAAATGAAAAGGCCTTCTTCTTGCAATCAATATCACAATCCTTTCTGAATAAGAGGACCCTTCCCTGAAATTGGTCACAAGAGGCCAATGACTTCAGGGAGTGGCAAAGACTGATATTTAAACAGGACCAAAAAAATAAGTTTGATTATTGCCCTTAAAATCCATTTTCCTGAAAAAAAGGTCTTAACTTTTATTCTATCCACTTTCCTAAAGGGAAAAATCTGAAAAGATTTTTGATTTGGAGAAAATATTATTTCTTAATATTTTCAGTTGAACTAAGAAAGAGGTTTTGATACACCTCTACTTCTCCCCTACCACTAGGGACAATGTTCTGGCAAAACACCTCAGTGTAAAATCTATCTTTCTTCTCCAGAGATGCTCCTCTTTCAACTGACTCTTCCCAACTAGATTCCCAATAAGTACATCAAGACATATTGTTTATAAAGATAAACTGAATATTAATAGACTTTTCTATGTCCAGGGGAAAAGGCTTCAGGTTCCCATAAGGCAACATCTATCTTGACATCTTCTCATCCTTGATGAGCCTACATAGGCTCACTCCCAGGGTATTGGCCTTGCTCCATAAACCAGCTGCCTCTACCCATGCTTCTACTCTTCTAGTCAGGGATTCAGTCTAGTTATCCCTGGGAGCTATCAAGGCTGCTCTTTCACTCACTCCCCTCAATTCACTGAAACAGGGGAGCTGGGATTCCCGGAAAGGCACTAAAATTTAAAATGTTGTAAATCAAATCTGATTTACCAATCTAAAGATAATGTAATAAGTACCTACATTCTTGACCAATGATTTCACATGCCACTTTTAATAGAAATGATTACAAGTATCATATTCATTCAGCTTCAATATATCTGTACAGTATAGAATTTCTAACATGTCCATAAATGGATTAAGAGAGTACCTAATTAAAATAAATTGTATATAATTTGATACAGTGTACTAGAGAGCATATCACAGCATGTAAAAACTTAGGACCTTAGGTATCATCTATGCCAATCTTATTAGATTGATGAGAAAACTGGAGGTTTTAAGTGATTTACCCAAAGCCATATAGCAATTTAGTGGCAGAAACAGAGTGGAGAGTCAGAATAATCTTTATGCACTGGTGTGATCTTGTTACAGGGATAGGGACTAAAATAATAATTGCATTCCTCTAGGAAATATCTGAATGAGGAAACTCCTCATACCAATGCAGGTTGGCACCTTCTTTTGAACTCATGGCTTTAGAGAGTTGCCAAGAGCACTGAGCGATTAAATGACTTGTCCAGGATCATACAACCAAGATGTGTCAGAAGGAGTTGGTATCCCTTTGATCAAAATATCTTTGTAGATCAAACTATTTTACTTGACTTTCAAGGATCTCCATAATCTGTTGCCACCCTGCAACATATTGCAAGACCCTTTCTACTTTTGACTTATTTAAAACTTTTATCTTACTTTTTCACAAGTCTAGTCTCATTTTTATTGCACCCAAACAAGAAAGAAAAAAATAATTTTAGAAAGTCTTGCAATTCAAAAAAAGAAGATATTCTCAACCATGTTTAGGAAGACATTTGGGGAAACTCAAAGATTCTGACTGGCTCTTTGAGAAACTAATTCAAGAATGTCTATTTTGCTGCCTTTTTTCCCATTGTAAATATTCTTATAACTTGCACAGTTATACCGTAACTTGATGGTTATTCTTTTGTATCCAAAACAGAAAGCCTTTCTACTTTCTCAAGCTGTCATCTCATCAGCCCTAGCAGCTGACATGCAATTCAAAAGAAAAAAGATACACTAAAAGTCAAGTTCCCAAAAGCCAGCCTAAAAGTGATTAACTGGAGTAAAAACATCAAGAAGAAGATCCCTTATGACCAACTCATTATGTTCCCCCAAAACCCTGCTCCTCTTCCTAATTTATTCATTTCACTATTTGTGTCAATAAAATCAACCATCTTCCAAGTTACCCAAATTCCAATATTCAAGAATCGGAATCATCATTCACAAAAATCACAAAATCTTTAGAGTTGGAAAGGACCCCTAAAGTTATCAAGTCCAAATCTTACCTAAACAAAAAAATAAATAAATAAACTCTATATCACACCTTACAAATGGTCATCCAACCTTGGCTTAAAGAAAACTACTTCAAAAGTGCAAACTACCTCCTAAAGCAGCCCATTACACTTCTCAAAAGCTTGAATTTTCCTTACATCAAGCTGAAATTTGCCTCTTTTCAATTTCTGATCATCGCTCCCACTTCTGCTTTCAGGGGCCAAAAAGTTAATTCCTTCCCCCTTAAGAGTCCTCTTACCAAGGGCAAAATATCTGCAGTTCCTTCAACCAATCATCATATGACATGATCTTGAGTCCCTTCATCATTGTGATTGCCTTCCTCTGGAGACTGTCCGATTTTTTAATGTCTTCCCTAAAATGTGGTTCCCAGAGCCAATCACATAATATGCATATGAGGTCAAGACAGAATGGAGTACAGTAGAACTATCATCACTCTAATCTTGGACACCTGAAATCCTACTACCTTTATTTGCAACCATACGTTACTGGTAACTCATGTTGAGCTAATGGTTCACTAAAACCTCTAGATCTTTTTTTTTCTTAGATGCATTGCTATCCCAGTCATATTTCCTCATCATTGTACTTGTGAAGATGATTGTTTTGAACCCAACTGGTTTACTCAATTCTGAACTCATGTGAACAATTAGCTTCGTGCTGAACAATGTAGGATATATTGAAAGAACTCATTTGGCTTGACTTCCCAACCCAGTTGGAAACTGAAAAATCAGCTGTACTCAGTTTGAATCTTTATTTGCAGACCAGCCAAGAAACATACATTTTTAAAACCAAACTTTCAATCTGGATTAAATCACTTAGCAAAGGAATAGAGATACACAATCACACATATTGCCAAAGGATTGTAATCTATTGTCTCTGAAACTCATACTACAGAATAGGGGGCAAAAAATAGCAGTTGCTGAGAAGGCAGACCTAGATTGTCCAGCTTTGTCCTCCCCACGTCCATCACTCCAATGCCTGGACCTCCATTCATCATATCCTCTAGTTTCTCCATCCCTCCACAGCCCACATTATCTCAAATCCTCCCAGTAGGTTGATTGGCAGTTTGAGCATTTACCTCATCTTGAGGTATGCTGTCCTGATCCACCTAAGCTCTATTAGTCAAGGTCTTAAAAGGCTCACACATATGAACCTATCTTTTCTTTGTCCATCAGTATCACTACTAAAAGTAATGCCTACAAAAATAGGACTTTGAAATGAGGCAGTTGAGGGGCAGCTAGGTGACAAACTGGATAGAGCACTAGCCTTGAAGTCAGGAGGACCTGAGTTCAAATCCGGCCTCAGACCAAACACTTGACACTTACTAACTGTGTGACCCTAAGCTAGTCACTTAACCCCAATTGCCTAAAAATAAAGGAAAATGAAATGAGGTAGTTGACTAAGAGTTCCATCAGTGGTCCCTGAGGTTGTACATTTCAGAGAGGGAAATTTTCTGAGACTTCTCTCTAAAGGATGAGGTGTAGTTGAGATGGACTATATATGTTGTTCCTCAGGAACACTTCCTTCCCATATTATTCATACAGTAAAAATAGGGCAATGCGGGTGTGCCATTTCTTCCTCAGATGATATAACTATTTTTAAGGCATTGGAGAGTTATTCATTCTGAATTCACCTTTGAATAAAGAGTTCATTGCACCTGTGATGCCCTTTGACAACACTTTGACCTTTGACCTCTATCTTCTTACGAGGTTCTGGACAGGAATTCTGGATTATCTTGGTATCCTGGTAATATACTCCAGCTTGCTGCCTTTAATATTCTTCCAGTATTTTGAATGAGATGAAGTTGGTACCATTCAACGCTGACCTTCCTGAGATGTTTACCAGGTTTGGATC